TCAACAAAATCAACAACATCAACAACATCAACAATATCAACAACAGCATCAACAACAGCATCAACAACATACCCAACGTTATAAATATTTCAAGACGCCAAGATTTACTCAACCAATTTCTTCAGTTGCGTATCGGCGAACATGTTTATTGAGGTTTAGGCATATTCCAGTCCAGAGTATACATATAAACACACTCACGCACACACATACACGCACACACATACACGCACACGAACACACTCACATTTAAACTGGCTACACTAATATTTACACACACACACATTTACACTCTCTCTCACGCACACACGAACACACACATAAAACTGGCCACACGCACACATACACGCACACACACATACATATTCAAACATACGCGAACAAATAAGTACATATTAATAAATAAATAAACCAATAAATAAATAAATAAATATTATTTGTATGTTTGTTTGTTTATACTTATACAAACATACATGCACGAAAAATGCACTAAATAAAATGTTTGCATAGGGAGAGGCATCTTTATGTTGTGTGTGTGTGTGTATGTGTGTGTGTGTGTGTGTCTGTAGCATTAAGAATTAAAGTTGGGTTGAATGGCTATATTATAAGCATTGTTATATTTTTTTATTATTTGAATCTATGTAAAAAAATTTTGATTGGACGACAAACTTTTTGGATTTCGTGGATGTCGCATGTTATCATGGATTGTTGTTTACCGTGTGACGTAACGATGACGTCATAATGATTGACATCCCCTTACTACATGAATTTAATTAGAAAAATGACAAGATAATAAGATAACCAAATGCATGCACAAGTACACGCACAAACATACACACACACACACATGTCCAAATTTAAACTAAAAACAAACATCAAATCTAAAGATCATAGAAATTAATAATCATCGGCTGGATACAAAATACAAAGAACATACAAAACTCTAGAGAACGAAAAGAAAACCAAAATTATTATTAAAAACAAAAAATACATGAAACTACTACAGGACTAGCAGCTGTAACAGTAGACATACGCGATGAAAACGAGACATCTAACGAAATGTGACATCGAGTCGTTTAAATTTCTGAAGAGTCTTTTTAATGTTTTAAATTATAAAATATTCATAGCTTCGTCTCTCAGAGCTTCAATGCCTCCATGCTCTGTTTGAGACGCAACACAAATACACAAAAACATACACACGCACGCACACATGCACACACACACACACGCACACACACACATGCACGCACACATCACAACACCAGGCCCATAATTATAAACATTCGCTCGCCACCAAGTAAAGAGTGTGCTTATTTGAAAGTGTTAAACATAAACATATATGATTCAAATCAAGCATTTGATGTTTTATGTGTGTGTGCGTGTGTATGTGTGTGTGTGTGCGTGTGTGTGTGTGCGTGTGTGTGTGTGTGTGTGTGTGTGTGTGGCCGACATCGATGATTGATTGCTTGATGGATGGATGGAGAGATGGAAAATAAATGAGTGAGTTGATGCATACATGAATGGAGTTTTATGTATGAAGTACAATGATTGATTTTTAAAATTATTATTTATTTAAAATGTTTTAGCTATGCCACAGTATAAGAAGTAGTAGTAGTAGTAGCAGAAGCAGCAGCAGTAGTAGTAGTAGAAGAAGTAGTAGTAGTAGAAGAAGTAGTAGTAGTAGAAATAGCAGTAGTGTTGTTAGTTGTAGTTCCAGTCAAAGTTTACAGTGAAAATTGATTTGTTGAGTTTAAAACGTCTATACATTTGTTTATATTCTCCCCAGATTATTTAAAAAATTTTTTTATTTCAATATTTATTTAAATCAATTTAAATATTAAAATTGCATCTTTTAATGGGCCAAAAGTTTTAGAGTTATCTATTTAACTAACTATTGGTCTGACTTTAATATAACAGTTTTAAAACTGGATACCATGCTGGCATGTGTTCATAGCAAAGTAAATTACTTCTGTGACTAATTTACTTTAAAGTGATTGTTCCTTAGATTATTTTCTTGGCAGTATCATCATCATCGTCATCGTAATCATCATCATCATCATCATCATCGTAATCATTACCAACTTGTCACTTGTACCTTTTTTTCATCACCATCATCATCATCCACTTTGATATCATCATTTCATCATCATCAGATTTGATATCATCATCATCGTTTTCGCCATCACCATCAACTTTGATATCATCATTTCATCATCATCAGACTTGATATCATCATCATCATCAGACTTGATATCTTCCTCATCATCTTCGCCATCACCATCATCATCATCGTCGTCATCACCATCATCATCATCGTCGTCATCATCATCACCATTGTGTCCTAGCTTCTCTTCATGACAGAAGTATTTCCACAGACTTTTCCATCGTCTCTCGTGTAATTATTTTTTATACAGTATTGTCAATTAACGTCATATGTGACATCAACGATGATTTTTCATCGTTAACATCAAAATCATCTTACTCATCGTCACCATCGTCACGTCGTTATCATCGTCATCATGGTCGTCATCAGCTTCATCATCATCGTCGTCGTCATCTTCGTCATCTTCGTTCCGAGAAATTAGACATTTTATTGTTTTTTTTAAATTTTTATTAAATAAATTTGCAAATAGCTATTTCGAGTTATAAATAACTCATCTTCAGTGCATTATATATAAGGTATGTAAGATATTTAATATAAAGGAAATTCCTTTAAAATGTCTAATTTCTCGGAAATTAATAAATTAAAAAGAAATATGAAAAAGTTGAACAATGTTGAAAGTAGTGTTGAATTTTTGATATATATATATATATATATATATATATATATATATATATATATATATATATATATATATATATATATATATGTTAGCAGCATCATCAACGACAACAACATCAGCAACAACAGCACAACAACATCAGCAACAACAGCACAACAACATCAGCAACAACAACACAACAACAGCATCAGCAACAACAACACAACAACATCAGCAACAACAACACAACAACATCACAAACAAAACCGTCACAGCATTTAAATTGAAAATGTCCATAAAACGCTTGACAAGCCATCAAACGGACCGTGTAAACAACATCAACTTTTCAAAAAAAAAAACACTAAAAAATCGATCAAAACAACACCAACACCAACATCAACAACACCAAATAACAACAACAACCAAACAACACCAACAACAAAACAATCGTTCATCCTTCGCGACGACATCATAAATACAAAATGGCTGAATGCATCGGGCTGTAACTAATTCATTTTTTTATGTTTTCAGTGTTTTCTGGATTGTTTTTCTTTTTTTTCAGTTTTCTACGTGTTTTTGTGTGTGTGCGCAATTGTTTGTTTGTTGATGTTTGTATGTATTTGTGTGTATGTATGTATGAGTATGTATGAGTGATTATCTGATTGTATATATTTGCTTATGTTTGTATATTTAGAATTAATTTGTATTATTTAGGATTGTCTCTAGGCCACTTTTGTATGTGTCATGTTTATATGCTTTTTGAGTTTGTTATGTATATTTATACATTTTTTCTTGATTTAGTTTTTTGTATGTTTTTGTCGGTTTGTTTGTTTCATTTGTTTGAATGTTTCTACATATGTTGGACTTTTAACCTAGCAAAATGTTAAGCTGTGGTGTCTTTTTTACAGGGTTTCTTTACGACTTCGAGAATTGTTTAGAAAAAATTTCGCATGTTTATGGCTTTCTGTAACTCATGTGCGTTTTGTTTTTGATTCAGCGTTTCAGTCATCATTCATTCTTTCATTTAATATTCATTCATTCAACCATTCACGCATCCATTCATCCTTGCATCCATTCATCCATGCATCCATTCATCCTTTCATCCATTCATCCATTCATTATAATACCTGGCCTGTAGACCACGCCTGTGTGTCTGGCACATGTGTTCATACATTGTTTCCCTTCATTCACTCGTGTGAAATTGTTTTGTCTATTTTCTTTTAATAATTGTCGGCTTGTATTGTTCTGCGGTGGAAAATTGTTGATCCGTCTGAGTTTTAGTGTTGTGTTGTGTGTGTGTGTATTGTTGTTGTTGTTGCTGCTGCTGCTGTTGTATGTTGTTGTTTGTATGCCCTTTGTATGTTGCTGTTGTGGTGTTTGTATTTTTTTTATTGTATGCTGCTGTTGTCGTGTTATATGTGTTCTTTATATGCTGCTGTTGTGTTTGTATGTTGTTTGTATGTTCATTGTGTGTTGTTGTTGTTTGTATGCTCTTTGTATGTGTTGTTGTATGTTAGCTTGTTTCGAATCTCCAAATTCAAATTTTTCCTGTCTTCATCACATTAAAGAAACGCATGAAAAAAAAATTTTTTGCACGTTGTAATATTTCCAAATATGATTTTACGTCCAAGGCTTGCAAATGCGCCTCATGGTGTCCAGTTTTACTATCACACGCACAGTTGTATACATTCATTTCTGTTTTCCTCGTTCGATTTTATAGTGGTGATCTTTGAGGAAGAATTTATTTAACTTTTTTTGTGTTTGTTCTCGTTTGTTTGTCTTTGTTAGTTTTCATTCTTGAAACATGTTTACTATTTTTAGCTCATTGTTTAAACTTTACGTAACGAACTTTCCTTTTTTTTTATAAACATCGAATTTTTTAACTTAATGACGTCATAAAAAGTTTATAGCAATGTTTGTTTACTTTGTTATTTATATTTTTAAGGCTTTGACTACTATAAATGTTTATTCTACGTTTATTCACCCATGTTTCTATTGTGTTTATAAGCAGCAATGAGCAGTTTATGTATTTTAGCAGAATCCAACACGCCTTCGATAATTATAAGCCACACAAATTTGCCAGCCTCCTTTGTTCTAACAAATCATTTATGATTTACCGGTCTAATGATTCTTACGTATTTTAACATTGACGTTGTTGTTATTATTATTGTTGTTGTTGTTGATGATGTTGTTGTTGTTGTTGTTGTTATAAAAAAAACGCCAGATAAAAAAGCAAAAAGCATGGCGTGCAAGTTAATATCTATTTACATTTCTTTGGGGGTAGCATATGGTGGCCAGCTATATTATCGTCTGCCTAAGTAGATATGGCGTGATTTTTTATTAATTATCGCTTGCTTGATTTTATGTAGAGAAAAAAAAAATTGAAGTTTTTCTTATGTTTATGTATCTTTGTTTATTATGTTTATGTATCTATGTTTGTTTTGTTGATGTATCTATGTAATTTTTGTGTATCTATGTTTGCTATGGTTATGTATCTATGCTTGGTATGGTTATGTGTGTCTGTAATACAGATTCTGAATTATTTTGGCGTTTTTAAGTTTGTATTATTTCTTTGTCAGAATCTATTTTTGTTTTTGTTTAAATTAAGTTTTTTTGGTTATACGGACAATAACGTTTTATTATTTATATTTTAAATTCAATTTCAGTCTCCCAGTTAATCTGGCTGTGAATCTAAGGAAGATTTAATTAAATTCTTTTCTTCCTTCCTCTTGTTTGCATTTTTGGTCGGTATGTATGTTTGCAAGTTTGTGTGTTTGTATATATGTCTGTCTGTGTCTATGTACCTAGGTTTGTGTGTTTGTATGTTTGCTTTGTATGTATCGTATCGTAAAATTAAATCGTATCGTATCGTTTGTGTGGGCGTTTGTATGTATGTTTTTATGTATGTGTGCTTGTATTTCAGTATTTATGTACTTAAGAATGCAATATTTTTTTGGTGGCGTTTAAGTAAATTTTTGTGTCAAATGATTATAAACATGAATGTGTGAATGCGTATGAATGGATTGATAGATAAATGAATGAATGCATGAGTGAATGAATGAATGAATGAATGCATGAGTGAATGAATGAATGAATGAATTGATGGATGGGCAAATGGATGAATGAATGACTTGTGTGCATTAATGTAGGCATCGTATGCTTGGAGAATTTATAAGTTGTAGAATATAAAAATATTGCTTTTCAAGATATTAAATAAATGATTGATGACGACGATGACGATGATGATCAAGAGGAGGATGATAATGATGATGATGATGGCGATGTTGATGATGATAATGGAAATTTTGATAATGATACCATACTACAAAAAACGATTTACCATATTGATGATGATGGATATGAATGATTATCTTTATGAATATGCAAATGATCTGACTTGATGGTAATGAGGAAGATGACGGCGATGACGATGATACTGGTGATGATGATATAATGATGATAATGATGATTTACGACAGGGCTTTGTTTATAGTCATCGGCGCGTTGGGCATTGAATTTCAATGAGCTATTCATATCCTAATAAAAACAACAACAACTGCAACAATAACAACAGCAACAATAACAACAGCAACAACAACAACAGCAATAACAACAACAACAATAACAACAACAATAATAATATTAATAATAATATTAATAATTTATTAGTATTTTTATTAGTAGAAGTTATTAATTATTGTAATTTGTCATCCATTGTTTCGGCTGGTGCTATCGCGAATACAACCAAGCTGATTACACTTGGGATTAAAACTCAAGTTAGTAGTTGTAACAGCAGCTGTAACTTCAAATGCAGTAATTTTAAAACTGTGTAAGTGATAAAGAGTAACAGAGTAGTAGTAGTAGTAGTAGTAGTAGTAGTAGTAGTAGTAGTAGTAGTAGTAGTAGTTGTTGTTGTTGTTGTTGTTGTTGTTGTAATAGCAATAGTAATCATAGTAGTTAGCAAATAATATTGATTATAGTCCATTTTTTGCTTCAGTAAAAATGATTTTAATATTAGTAGTAAAGGGAGTAACATTGTTGTGATAACCATAGTAGTAGTAGAAGTAGTAGTCTAGTAGTTGCGGCAGCATTAGTAGTAGCCGTAGTAGTAGCTGTAGTAATAAAGCTACGGTATTAAGTACGGAAACACCAACCATGCATGCAACACAGTAAAATCAATAACATCAATAATAACATCAACAACAGTAACAAAAACTACAACATCAACAACAATAACAATAAAAATAATAACAATGATAACGTTAATAATAATAAAAATAATAAATCAATAAGTTAAGCCACTAGAACAACATTAACAACATCAGCGCGATCAATCACGAATGTAATTACAATAATACTACTAATAATAATAATAACAACAATAATAATAATAACAACAAATACAAAAACATTCACAGCAATAGTAACAACAACATCGACAAATAAATAAACAAACAACAACAACAACGGGCAATAATTTGTAATTACAGGAAAAACATCATTAAAAAAGAATACCAACAGCATGACGTCATCTCATCTATGATATCAAAAACCACAAAGAACAAACAAACAAACAATAATATTAATAGCAAAAGAACGGCAATAATAAAAAACAAATAATAAGAATAAGAACCAATAAAACAAAAACAACATTATTACAACAATGGCAGTAACAACAACTACAACAACAATCGCACAATAACATTAACGTTCGTTAACAACATTAACACTTAATAACAGATAAAATCAACTCTAGCAGCATACAACTAAAACAACAAATCAGAAACAACAACAACAATGACACCAGCAAAACAACAACAACAACATATTTGAGACTCTCTCAAGCAATCCATCATGGCGGCTGGATAAGTTACTTCCGGTTCAGGAGTGTGATCGATGATCTTTTTTTTTGTCCATGCTATTTTGTCTTTGCTTCTTTTTAGGTGTCTCTGCTTCTTTTAGTTATCTATGCTTCACTTCTTTCGCTTTCTTTCTTTTTTCTTTTTTTCCTTCTTTCTCTCTCTTTTTCTCTCTCTCTTTCTACAAGCATTCTATCATATAGTATGGAATGTTTCTGTGCTTGTGCTTTAATGTCTTTTCATATACTCTTCATCTATATTTTATGGGCGATAAATGAGTGTTTTTATTATCTATGTTCACTGAGTTGTCTATGCCGTCATTTATCAGGCATTTATTTCATTTTTTCTTTGTTTTTATCAATACGAAAAAAATGGTTATTTTTCTTCGCGAAACTTGTAGAAATGACTTGTCGTTGTTTTAACATGCCTTCATATTATTATTATATATTATTATTATTATTATATTATTATAATTGATATTAGTGAAAGTACAGTACTTATCAGTACATATGCACACTACAAACACACACTCAAACACGCCCACATCATCATCATTATTACCACCATCACCATCATCATTATCAACATCAACGACTAACATTGATTTATCATTATTATTACTACTATTACTATTATTACTATAATTATTATAATTATAATAATTATTATTATTATTTTAACTATCGTTATCAGGAGGCGACTTGACCGAGGTTTGCAACAGCAACCATTTTGAAGGCCGGTGCCTCGATGACGAGGTCATCATTATCGAGACCGCCCAGTATGGAAGATTACAAATCGGTAGTGACGATGGTGTGGTGATGATAGTGATGACGGTAATGATGATAGTTACGGTGGTGATGGTGATGATGATGATGGTTATGATGGTTTTGATGGTCATGACAATGATAATGGTAGAGTGAAAATGACGATGACGACAAATTAAATGATCGTAAATATTTATGATAATCTATGATGATTTATGATAATTTATGGTAATTTATTCCTGGCAAGGTCGTTGCATGACTGAAACGTTGGGCTATATCAACTGCGTCAATGACGTCACGACGATCGCCGAAACACACTGTTCCGGAAAGAGGAAGTGCTCGGTCAGAGTTGACGACTCCATGTTCCTGGGTTCGAATCCTCCTTGTAACCCGGAAGTGAAAAATCATCTCTGGATAAGCTACAGCTGTCAGAAAGGTGAGGAAAATAAGTAAGATGATGATGATGTGGTGTGACTTTTGATGATGATACAGGTGGGAATGATGACGGAGCTGGTGATTCTTACGAAGAGTTGATTCAGTGATAGAATTAAGTTTTGAGTCATTTTTAAATTTCACGAGTGGTAGGCTAAATCTGGAAAAAAAAATTATGACATACCTGGAACCACCAACAACAAATGATTTAAAGATTGATTGATTGTCATGGTTTAAAACAAAATATACAAACGAAACATACATAGATAGAAACATACGAACGAAATTTGCAAAACAGACAACATACCAACAAACGTACAAAACAAACATGCAAAAAAACAACTTACTAAACAAACATAGAAAAGGAAAAATGAATTAAGAAGAAGTTTTGTTGTGTATTGCAAAATGAGGAAATGACGGATGGAACGTAATTAAATCCAGCGAAAAATATTTCATTTAGAAATGGATCGGCTATAAGACATATGAACGCTCAATTGCACATACAAAAACATACAAGTACATACATTCAAACATTACGTATGCTTCCATTTACAGACATACAATACATACAAACATACACAAACATGATATACAACATAAACATACGAATAAAATTAAAAAAAAAACAATTATTTGTTTACTTATACAAAAGGAGTTTAAACATTTAATAGAGAAGAAACAAAGCATACAAAATAAAGATATGTGTTGGTATGCGTGTGTATGTCTTTGTGTGTGTATGTGTGTGTGTGTGGCGCTGTATTATATAGTGCGGAAAAAACAATTCTCTTCATCCCACTCAATCAATCAATCATATGTATGATCTTCTCAAATCCCGTACTTCGCAGTTCACTCAATCAGCTGGCTCTCCAACCAACCAATCAATCAGTTCCAACCGGCCTGTCAATCAAATAACTAATCAACTCATCCGTCATTCAATCAATCAAACAATATATCAATCAGTTAACCATCAATCATTTGATCAATCAGTCAACCAATCAATTAATCAATCAATCAATTAAAACAATCAATTAAAACCATTAATTAAAACAATCAATTAAAACAATCAATCCATCAGTTAATCAATCAATATACCAATTTATCAATCAATCAATTAATCAATCAATCAATCAACTATTCATTCAAACAAGAAAAAGAAAATGGTTTTATTTTAAAGTAACTTTTGTTTGGATTAAATCTCCGAGATTGATGATGGTGATGACGACGACGACGATGATGATGGCGATGGTTATGATAAGACTTATGATGACGATTGTGGGTATGAGAAAAATATTTTAATATACACGGATCTTCGTATTCTAAACCAATGTGACGCTAAAAATATATTACCAGAAATAATTAGATCTTGAAGTTTTGTAAACTAAAATTCTTTTGGCGTAAGTTATAATGATAAAATGAAAAAGAAGAGGAAAAAGTAGAAGAAGATGATGATGATGATGACGATGGTGGTGGTGATGATGATAGAAACATTACAATAACATAAAAAGAGTACTGCGTTCTGGGGTCATTCGTTCCACCAATCTATCACACCCCACAACCAAGCCAACCTGCTCTCAACTAATTAATATTCATGAGGGCCGATATAAATATTCAAATGAGGCAGTCCCTCGGGCCTAAGTACGGCCTCATTAATATGCATGCGGAATCTAGCAGGGCCCGTTAAATATGGTAGCATGACCTCATCGATCACGTGCTATTGACAATGAGATGAGGTAGAGGGTGGCGATGGAAAGAGTCTCGGTTGAGGCCGTTGGTGGTTGTGGTGGTTTTTAATGAAGCTGCTGCTGCTACGCTTGCTACTGCTACTACAACTGCTGCTAATACTGTTGCAGCTACTGAAATTTTCTTATTATATTCAATCTTCGCTATTATTATTTGAATATCCCCTTTCATTTTTAGCAAGCAGCAAATTTTCAAGCTGCCGATTCCAATAAAATCTAAACGTAAATCATCAACCAGACATTCCGACACTCAACAGTTTCATAATTATTCATTTAATCATTCGTCACGTATGTTCAATCAATCAATCAACCATCAATCAACTATTCGATCCACCGATAAAATTTTTGATCAACCAATCAACAAACCAACCAACCAATCAACCAACCAATCAATCAACCAACCAACAAACCAACGCAGTGATTGTCCCGACAACCAACTGCCTTAGCAGCGATAACAAAATGAGAACCGTCATTCATCTAAACGATTACATGTCTACGCATCTCAGCTCTTCTTCCTCTTCCTCTTCTTCATCATCAAAAATCATCCAGGCATTTTTAACATCGACGCCAAGAACCACAACTACAAAAACGCCGCTGCACGCCGACAACGCGAAGCAACAACGAACGCAAAAAATAAAATTATTCCTATCAAGCGCCATCTCTGAACAGACGGGGTGTGGTCTGAGTGAGAATCCGTGGGTGCTGATGGCAGGCCCTGGTCAGAGGATCAACATAACGGTCATTGATTTCTCCCAAGAATCCTTACAATTACCGGAACCGATGGACAACAAACGGGTCTACTCCAGCCAGAATCCGACCTACAAACAGATGGACAAATCGAGAAACCGAACTTCAGAGTTCACCTGTCGAGTTTTAGCGAATATTCGAGAAAGTAGTTTTGATGGCATCTCTACGGTTTGCTCGGGGCAGGGGAAGGTGGTGAACGTGAAGACGTCCACCTCCAACAAAGTCGAGTTGAGGTTCCACGGGAACAGGGTTCTGAGTGATGGTAGCGGTAGTGGTAGTGTTGGTGCTGGTGGGATTGCTAAGCCCGCGGTTCGACTGCATTCTCATTTCCTGTTTCAAATTGAAGGTGAGTAAGTTGCCGTGATTGTATTTTTTAATTTATTATCTTTGACGTATTATTTTTATCTCTCAAACGTATTAAATAATTATTAGTTTTTTACACCACATCGCAACTCACCATAACCAACCACAATTAACTACAACCAACTACAACCAACCACACCACACAGTCTTGGGCTGTGCCACACCGACCTACCCCGCACCTATGACCGCCAAAAGAATTGGTGACCTGCTGATGGTGGAGTGCAACAAGGGTGGCGCAAGTAGTGGAGGGACCGGTTGGACCCTTACCTGTATCAATGACGTCTGGATTGGTAACCATGGAAACTGCAGCCACGGTGAGTCACGTGATGTTGTGACGTAGATGCTGTGACGTAGATCGTGTCATCATTTTCTCCGGTAAATCGTTACTTTTGTCATCAATGTCATCATCATATCTTTAAATTTCATTTTATTTATTTTTTTAATTATTATTAAATATTTCTACAGCATCTTCGACAATTTCTGAGAAACTGGAAAATCTTTTTCCGTATGGTTAGAATAACTTTTGAATGACAAATTATTTTTCTAATTTTAATACCTACTACCACTTTTAATACTACGGCTGCTACTACTACTACTGCTACTACTGCTGCTGCTACTACTGCTGCTGCTACTATTACTACTACTGCTGCTGCTACTACTACTGCTGCTGCTACTGCTGCTACTACTGCTGCTGCTGCTACTACTACTACTACTGCTACTACTGTTACTACTACTAATACTATTTTTTCTTCTCATGTTATAAACACCTGTTACATTTACATTAAGGCAGCTAATAACACTAATCACCGATCATAACAACAACAATAACAATAGTTTTTAATAACTGTCGATCGATTATCCAATAATAATTATGGTTATTTTCATTTATTGTTATTATTATTAGTAGTAGTAGTTGTTGATGTTGTTGTCGTAGTAGTAGTAGTAGTGTTAGTAGTAGTAGTAGTAGTAGTAGTAGTAGTAGTAGTAGTAGTAATAGTAGTAGTAGTAGTAGTAGTAGTAGTAACATCGTTGTTACTATTGTCATCAATGTTATAATAATATCAATTGTGCTTCTAATCTAAAGTCATTTCAATTCCTATCAATAATTTTCATAACTACCATTAATTATAACCATAATAACTCTAATTATAGTAAATTACAGTGTTAATGGCATAATTAAATGCAAATGTAATAATAATATTCGCCCGACAGCAACATCTGTCGTTACCATTGGAGTGATTGCAGTCTTTATGGTCTGTTTGATCTTAACAGCTGGTGTCTTCTGCATTAAATGGCTAGTAACATTTTCTAATTCTATTATTATATTATAATAATAATTATTACTATTGTATCTATTTCTATTAATATATAATAATAATTATTATTATTATTGCTGTTATTTCGTTAATGAAATTAATACTGAAGATAGTTGTTTTAAGTTGTTTGTGTGAGTAGATGTGTGCGTGTGCGTGTGTGTTCGTGCCTGTGAAACTATTTGCATGAATATTTGAAAAAAGCATCTCAAATTTTTATTATTCAAGAACAAATTTTTAAGAACCTTTCTTCCGTCTTACTTACTTAATCATACATTAGGAACGGTTCAAATTCCCCATTGTCCTATTTTTAGCTTTAATCCGGACATTAGGAATCCTCAAATGAACTAAAAGCACCAAAAAATGCATGAACAAATCCAAGCATGGCTTCTTACAGTTTGAAGCAAGCGACCATAGACATTAGAAAAGGCAAAAATTATTGTAAAAACAACAACAAACTTATCAAAAAAATTTAATTATAAAGCTTTGCGATGGGGTGAACGGCCGGCATCCTTCAAACTGGAAACAGCTGCCGTTAAAAAATTATTAAACCATTAACAACATATAAACCATTAAACCGTAAACAATTTGCACATACAAGACATAGAATCATAAACCACGTAGAGCCATGACGTCATAAACAACGGAGAACCTATTACGGCATAGACAACACAAAACCACAAACATATGAACCTTTTATCGCCCACTGCACAACTTACGTTACCAAAGAACACAAATCGTCTTTACGCTGTTATAGACTAAGTAGGTTGAAAAGATCGTAAATAAGCAGGCTAGTTTTTCCTAGTGGGCAATCACATCTGCGCAAACTCACAAAATATTTGAGCTTTAAATTTTAGCTTGCTCATACAAAGAGACACACACATACACACACACACACTTAAATACACACAGATTTATGCAAGAAGATATACAAAAAAAATTTCTCATTCCATTTGATTAAACGAGGATTTTTTTCATCTTGAAAAAATTCTTAAAATGCAAACACTACACCAACATACGCTGTAACTTACAATAAATTTGAATCATATTCTCTTACAAGACAATTTTGAAATAAACATACAATTACACGATCAACGTTTAACACACACACACACATAACACACACATGCATACACAGACACACATACATCAAAACTACGCATAAACATTTATACACACATACATCAAAGCCGACAATGGAACATTAGCGTTAAACTTGAAATATACCCACCTCTTGTACCACAACTCTTCATAAATACCTCGCTTTACTTTTTCATTTTTTTAAAAGGTGAAAAAAAATTTTGTTCTTTGCCTAGAAAATTTTTTTGTATATTTATAAGAAACTGTTTTGTTGTTTTTCTTGATGTATGTGTGTATGCATGTGTGTGTGTGTATGTGTGTGTGTATGTGTGTGGTGGTGTATGTATGTGTATATAAGGTTATGCATATACCTCAATTTTTTTCCTAATTAATTTTTTACCCTGTTGTTTTCATGACCAACAGAATCTAGATGTATAAAAAAGATTCTTCGCGAAAAATTTTTATTCCAATGGTCCGTTTTGTTAATTTGCTCGAAGCAATTCATGTATCATTTAATTTTTTTTTGTTTTGAAAAAATTATCTTTCATGAAATTTTTTGTATGTGTGTGTTTGTGTGTGTGTGTGTTTGTAGTTGACAAGGCTCTGAAAATAAAAAACACCAGCAAAAACAATAAAGATAAATCTTTTTGTTGCATGTTTAGGCACAGTGCTTTTCTTGGCTCATGGTTTTTTTGTCAAAATTTGTTAAAAAAAATTTTTTTTTCTTGTTTACATTAGTTTTGTATTTTTTTTTATCATGTGATTGTATATTTATGAATGTTTGTGTATTTTTTGTATAGTTTTTATCTGTCATTTATTGTTGAAAAATGCAATTCTGGAAAAACTGGTTAGCTGTTGCTTTTTTTCAGTGCTAATATTAGTATTGCAATTCTTTTGTGGTGGTTATTATTAATTATATTATTATTATTATTATTGACCTTTATTATTATTATTATTGTTGTTGTTGTTGTTATTATTATTCTATAGTTGTTATTATTATTCTATAGTTGATTACGGCACTATTGAGCTTGATTAATGTTGTAAATGATTAGAATTGTTGCCAGTCAGCTGAACGAGACATATCTATCTAACCACCTATCTAAAAACCAACACACACACACACACACACACACCCACATATATATATATATATATATATATATATATATATATATATATATATATATATATATATATATAGACTTACATACACACACTCACATACGCACATACAAACACACACACACATACAAATCAACCGAGTCACACTTTGAATCAAAAGCACATATTCATCTATTTAAAAAAAACTGATTATTACGATTGTAAAACAATAATTAAATTAATAACGATAATAATAATAGTAATAATAATATTTAATATGACATTTATTATTATTATGCTGATTATATAATTAAGTCGGATGAAAAGCTTATTAAAATGTTTACGTATGTATGTACGTATGCCTGTGTGTATGTTCATATGTTTGGTTTTATTCCTTAAAGCGTGTATGTGTGTATGTACATGTATGTGTATGTATGCGTGTGTGTGTGTGTGTGTGTGTATGTATGTATATGTGTGTGTTTTTGATAATACCCTGCATCATTATTATTGATTGCATATTAAGGCCTTATGGATTGTTCACAGAAATTCATTACATTATATGTGTGTGCTGTGCGTGCAATGCTTGTGAGCAAGCAGAGCACGCACACACACATACATATAACATACATACATCACATGCACGCATACGTTCAAACAAACATACAAACAAACAATCAGTCATTCAACCATACATGCAGACTGACACAGATAAACACACAATATGCAGTGGGTATTTATGTATATGTATGTATTATTTACATATACAAACAATGCATCAAAACAAAGGATACAAAAGATACAACAGTTTCAGAGGAAACAATAGATACAAAAGAGCTATAGGGTACCAAAGATACAAAAGATAGAAAAAATACAAATGATGCAAATACACAAACATAATAAATCATCCAACTCTTTATCTCTGCTCCGTCCTGCGAATTTTTTTTTGTTTTTTTTTGTTTTTTTTTGTTTTGAAACATTTTTTGATTCAGTTTTGTTAATTTTTCTTCTATTTTTTTATTTGAAATATTATTCTAAGCACTTTCATTAAGATTAAATTAATTTGCTTTTTCTTTTCGAAAGTGAAAATTTACTAAAGAGACAAAGTAAAGGAAGAGAAAATGAGAGAGAGGGAAAGAAAGAGAGAAGAAAAAAGAAGGAGACAAAAAAGAGAAATAAAAAGAGAGAGAGAGAAAGAGAGAGAGAGAGAAAAGAATAAAAGGATGGATGATAAGTAGGAATGCAAAACAGTATCGAGCACATGACGCGTGTGTACTATGAGTACTTTTGTGTGTGTGTGTGTGTATGTATGTGTGTATGTGTGTGTGTGTGTGTGTGTGTGTGTGTGTGTGTGTGTGTGTGTGTGTGTGTGTGTGTGTGTGTGTAGATAGATGTGTGAGTGTTTTAGTTTATGTTATTGATTATCATTTCATTGGAAGCACATTGTTTCTGTGGAATATTGTGCGGGAATGGGTGTGTTGTGTGTGCGCGTATTTGTATTTAATGTGTCTGTGTGTTTGTGTGTTTTTGAGTGTCTGTGTGTGTATTTTTGTGTGTCTGTTTGTGTGTTTGTCTAGTAGTAATAAACGTTTTTCCATTATCTACTAGTTACACGTAGATGATGATGACAAAGATATAGATGGTTATGTGATGACGACACTGATGGTGTTAATAACGCAGCGAAACGTTGAAATAAGTCAACCAGCTGTTGTTAAAACTTCATTAGAGTAAACAAAAAACCACAGAAAACGCGAATAAAACTGAAGAAAATAAAAAATGATGATTTGATGGTTTTCCATATATTTATGTTTTTCCTCCCCTTTTTCTACATTTTTCGTAATTTAATTAATTCGAACAGGTGGAGTGTGCACCTAAAATGGATATATCATTCGGATGTATACACGAACAAATGTGGCGTTTGTGGCGTGTTCGTTTGTCTGTTCGTTCGTTCGTTCGTTCGTTCGTTCGTTCGTCTGTTCGTCTGTTGTTTCCATGTTTATTTTCATATTTGTTTCTACGTTTGTTTGTTTATTTGTATACATTTTTGTTGTGTTTGTTTTTTTTAGGCCTCAGTCTGTTTGTTTGTGGGTGATTGTGCTGCCATCATTATCATTATCATCATAGTTATCATCATCATCATTACAGCCAGCATCGTCATCGTCATCATCCATATCGATATGTTGTATGATAATTGTATGACAAATATGTACATGGAAACCAATTATGCCTCTGCGTGTTACATCCTCGTCATCATCATCATCATCATCTTTATCATCCTCATCTTTATCATCATCATCTTTTTCTTCTTCTTCTTCACTCACATCATCATCATCTTCGTCGTCAACTTCATCAATTAATCATCAAAACACAAAACAACTACTCGCAAATATGCACATACATATTGTCACACACACACACGCACACACACACACACGCACACACACACATACACCTACACATACACATCATATTAAATATAAACATACACACAAATACACATACACACATATTTACATATCACTAGCATATTTACACATATCCACACATACGCTCAGCCAATAAAAGTCCTGAATTTCTAGCATAGACAGATAAATGCCGATTCAATTATCTGTCTATGGCATGTTATTTGGTGTCGTCTTGTCTCTTACATCTATGCATATTATATCTATGCATATTATATCCATGCATATTATATCTATGCGTATTAACTATCAGTGTGTATGTATAATTTATTTATCTATGGGTGTTATATCAATGTATGTATCTTGTATCTATGTGTATATCCAAACACGCTATTCAAACAAAACATGCACGCGTATAGATAGATACACACACAAACACATACATAACTATCATATTAACTATCAGTGTGTATGTATAATTTATTTATCTATGGGTGTTATATCAATGTATGTATCTTGTATCTATGTGTATATCCAAACACGCTATTCAAACAAAACATGCACGCGTATAGATAGATACA